CCCCCTCTCGCCCCGAGGGCTTTCCCCCACCTACCCTGTAACAAAACCTCGTTGGCCGGTTGGCACGTCAGCAGACACTACAATGAGGTGACCGTAAAAGTGTCCTCGGGGTGTTGTTGCTCTACCATGGGGCCCAAAAACCCGCTCTTCTGGGTGGGGGCCATGACGGGGTGCCCTTGGGGTGCAAAACTGGGGTACCTGTAGTTGTCCTGCAGCTGCAGCATTGAGTCTCTCGGTACGGGGGAGATGTTCAAGTCATTGATCAAGGGACAAGCGTAGGGTCCTCGGTGGTGAGCCCGGGACATCTCCAAGGGCTCCTTCTCGCCCTTGGAGGGGTGAGCGCCGCTCGGGCTGCTCAAGTGGGGGTTGAGACACTGGGGGTCCGTCCTCCCCATGAAGTCTACCAGCATACCGGTCCCCCCTTTGCCGTCGTACGAAGGGCTACGGGTGCTGGCGTTGGGGGAATACCAGTAAGGTGGGTTTTTGCAACTGGGGGAATCGTAGTGCGGTTGAGGCATGGGGAGATCGCGGCAAGCCAGGTGGGGGGCGTGCGGCAGGGTCCCCCCCTGCATGCTGTGTTTGAGCGAGTCGCAGGCGGGCAGCTTGCGGATGTCGCCCGCCCGGAGGTCCTCCTTGAAGGCCAAGGTGGGGGAGCAGTTGGGCGAGAAGGCTTTCTGCAAGCCGGCCTCGAAGACAGTCTGCTGGCCGGGGGCCGCCAGCTGGTGGGGGAGGGCAGGGAAGTGTTTGCTCTCCAAATCCGGCTGCCCCAAACCGGGGGAGTCGCTTTGAAACCCCTGGACGAAGGTCCCGTCCGAAGGGGTGGAAGGGTTCATGGAGTAAGGGCCGGCGTAGTCGCAGGGGTCCCGCTCGCCCACCCCGAAGCCCCGGGACTGGGAGGGCAGTGGGGACATGCTGCTGTCCCCGCTGTAGTAGTCCAAGCCCAGGTCCGTGCTCTCCTGGAAGAGGGGGTTGACCGCCTGCGACTTGGTGGGGAACTTGGCCTTGCCCGTCCCCCTCTCCTTCTTGGAGGCACAAGCTCCCCGGGAACCCCGGGGCTGCCGGGGTCCCGTGCTCCTCTTGGAGGGGTACACGGAGGAGGAGGAGGAGGAGGAGGAGAAGTTCAGGTGGGAGGTGTCGAACATGTCCACTTTCTTCCGTCGACCCCGACCGGGCTTGGAGTTGCTCTGGAAGAGGACGCTCTGGTTCCAGTTGTAGCCCGGGGCGGAGGACGCCTCGTTCCAGTCCATCATCAGCTTCTCCAAGCTGGAGAGACTGGACTGGCCCTCGCTGGAGGAGGCCTCGCTGTTGGCGCGCCGGTAGCCGGCCGGCTGGTTAAACTGGGTGCTGTCGGAGGAGGACTCGGAGAAGGTCTCCGAGACCGTCTGCTGCTTGGCTTTCTGCGGGGTGTAGTTGGAGATGTCCAAGATGACGTTGGGCTCGTTGAGGTGACACTCGAAGCCCGGGTTGTAGAGCTGGCTGAAGGCCTCCGAGCTCCAGTCCAACC